GCAAAGTGAGGGGGATCTAATTAGGATCTCAAGATATGAGGCTTTGCATTTTTAAAATGCTAACCCAAAAAAGGGAGGAGGACAAACACAAGGAACTTCTGAATACCAGATATAGCATTTACAGCTTCCAGTATGCTACACAAATTCCCCATGCTTATACTTTTTAAAACACATATATAATGAATGAAAGCCAACAACTGGGGAGGCGGTAGTGTTAATTTAAACAAATGTTGACATTTTCATACTGATTCAGAAAATGCTTGCTCTGTCTTTAGGATGTCTCAAACTCTTTCAGCATTTCCTGCTGCTAGTCGTTACTCTGACAATTCCTGCTATGTACAATTCTTCAGAAGTTACATCCATAGACACACACAAACCAATTAATTTTAATCACTTTTGCAAGTTGCATGTATTTTAATTAAAATTAAATTGATGGCATAATCCAAGTATAGCCATGGCCTAAATATAAAAACTGGGTGCCACACAATTAAATTAGATACAAAGCCCCGTTGGACAGTCAGTATTCAGTCACACTTTTATGAGTGCGTTACGATCTGAAGAGACTCAGTAACTCAACTGACTGAGTTCACAACTGCATTTTAAAATCTATCTCTGGCAGTACTTTAGAGATTGAAAGGTTGTTTTTCTTATACATAGTTGAACTGCTTCCCTATTCTAACACTCCAGTAGCAGATAAGGATCCATAAAAAATGGCTTTTAAAAAAAATTTATATTTTATGTGTATGAGCGTATTGCCTGCATGTACGTGAGTGCACCCATGTCATGCAATGTCACGGAGGTCAGAAGAGGGCTTAGGATTCCCCTGGAACTGGACTTAAGGATGGTTCATAGCCACCATGTGGGTGCTGGGATTGAACCTGGGTCCTCTGCAAGAGCAGTCAGTGCTCTTAACCGCTGAGCCATCTCTCCAGCCCTGAAAAATGGTTTTTAAAGGCAAAATACTCTTTTATATTTTTGGACATTCTATTAAATTGTAAAGCTCTCCCTTATTTCTTCCAAATATTGAAAATTTCAGCTTGCTTGAAACACTGTATATTTCAAATGTAAAAAAAGATATAAGCCTGAGAGAAAAGCCCTTTTCATTAGACATGACAAGTATATGTGCTAACCTAAAAGACTGACCTGGAACTTTTAAGAGTGTTACCTGACACTGCCTCTACTTTTAACTCTGCAGGATTTCTTTCCTTTTAGTTTCTGCTAAGAAACCCTCCTCCCTGGGCCCACTTTGACTGTCGAGGCAGACATTCCTTTGACCTTTCTTTCTGGCCCCTCCTTAGCCTTCCTCCAGCCATCAGGGTTGCTGCCCCTTGTACTCCAGAACATCAAGTGCTTAGACCTAGGGCTGCTGCCAGGTTCTTGTGGATTCTGATTTAAATTATCAACTGTGAGAACTTACACAACCTCTTCCTTCCTTACTGTGGCCTTTCCTTAGATGTCATTCCCAACCTCAGATTGCCCAATAATCTTTTCTATGAAACCAGAAAACCATTCTCAATGACCGCCACACCCCAAAGAAAATCTCACTGCACCCTGTCCTCTGCATCAAATCAGATGTCTTCAATAGCACTACTTGATTCCTCTCCCTGAAATTTGAATTTCACTTTTATGTATCAGGTAGGATTGTTAAAAGCACTAAGAATAGGTCTGGACATTTTAAATGCATGGGAGCTGTTATTATTGTTTGCTTCATATGCAATCATGTGTCAGTTTGATTGACTGCCCTGTGCAGTATGTGCATACAGTGACTCATGGTTTAAATTCTGAGCAAGGTGCCCAGGACTCAAACCGTTTGTCTCCTTATATTAGGAATGAAATAAAACAAGATCAGGATCAGGTTTACAGGGACTAGAATCCAGGCCAATTTGTATTACATTTGAAAGCCTCCAAGAACTATTTATAAGCTAACATTTTTACATGGCTTTCTTGTTTGTTGTAGGTTAAAACTCCAAACTCTTCAAGCACCTCCTCTGTCTTCCCTTTGAACGTTTGCTTAAACTCAAGACATTTCTATAATGTTAAAGAGAAATTCCCTTCTACAAAACCCACTTTCCTTAGCTCTTTCCATTGTATAGCTCTCAAAAAGAAACAGGTCCTTCTACCTGGGTTCCTTCTTTCCTTATGGCAATGCCCTACATTTAGCACTGGTTTTTAATTACATTTCCAGGTTCAGTCAGAGGAACATGAGCTGAAGTCTGGCAGATGTAGGTTTGGAGTCCACACCGATGCCCAGAGTGGGAATGAATATTAGTTAACATCTCAGGCCCCAGCGTCTTCCTCTCTACAAGTGTACCTGGTGGCGGAGAGCTGAAGCAGGATGCCATTTGTGCAGGGGTGTCACGGTGTTCACAGAGCAAGTCTTTGGGAAACCTGGTTACTGTGGTTAACGGAGGGAACAGCACAATGACAATGTCACTCCTCTGCTCAGGCATATTTTAGTCAATAAAGCTGGTACTGAAGAGTGAGATCAAATATGTTGTTTAATGGAAGGAAAGAATTGATGTAAGGTATTGAATGCACTCACCTATTATTTCCTTAGTTTTTATTTCATTGTGATGAGAACAATTGAGAATTGGAATTATTCTAGTTTGATTTCTGTTGCTGTGATAAACACAACCAAAAGCAAACTGTGGAGGAAAGGGTCTATTTTAGTTTATAGGTTACAGTCCATCATCTAGGGAAGCTGAGGCAGGACCACAGAGGAACAACTGCTTACTTGCTTTCCCTGCTTCTGTTCAGCTACCTTTCTTCACAAGACC